AATGCGACGCCTTTCCATTTCCCGTCCAGCCAAACACCAAATGGCACTTCCTCTGCGTCTCCTTCCTTGGGATTCCCTCCTCGACATCTCAGCGATGGCTTTCAAGGCACTTTGGATGTCTCGCCCATCTCCCACAATCAACCCAGAGAGAAGGCTGAATTGGTGTGGTGGAATATCTTGTGAGTGAGGCAGAAGCGCAGATGTCGAAATTCCCACTGAATAATATTGGGATGTGGTGGAAAATAGCTTAAGATATGCGCCATCCCGAGGAGTCTTCTCCACGAGTCCCTGGTGGCCGGGGTGATGAAATTCACCTTAATGTATTGCATTTAGTTAAAATTAAATGCTCCCCGAGGCAAATTATATTAATACAATTCCAACAAATTCACATGAATCTCCAACTTGATCTGCTCTCCTCACCCAAAATTACCATGGGCGCGATAAACGTGGCTCAGTGGGAGGCCACCCGCATAATGACGGAGAGCGAGAGGAATCCGCTGGGTGGCTTCTGCCACGCAGTCTGCGATGGGGCACCACTATCTCTGTGTGCACGAGGACGAAAATAGGCGCTCATATTGATTTTATGCACGTTTATATGTAAATATTGCAATTTATTGTCTCCCCTCCTCTTCACTCTCATGAGATGTCGTAAATTTACCGGGTTTACACGGAGAGAATTTATACGTTAAGAGGCCATTCATTGCCTCAACTGAGCGTTGTAACATTTCTGTGCCGAATTGACACATAAGAATCCCAAGCGGGAGATAATGTGCTCTTAATCGATCGTTTCGACAAACCATCGCAAATTATACTAAATATCTTAAGGTTCCATGCGATATTTCTGTAATAATCCAATTAAAACCGATTCTTTGAGTGTCTTTCTTGACCATAACCTCAAAAAATCACTTAGAGATCTCAAAAGACTCCAAATGGAAGCTTTTTAGATGAGAAAATAAAAATTAAACTCTAAATTGCTGATTCAGAGTCAAAATCGCACAGAAAGTGATAGGTTTTAGAGGTTATGTTTGATTTCAACTTAATTTTCAGTGTTTTTTGGTATCAAAAACTCAGAATAGCAATGTTTATCGCATGAAAATACTTATTTATGCAATTAATTAGCAATCTTGGCGACTTTAGCATAAGAATTAATGTGCTAGAATGCGAAATATTTACTAAATCCTTCCGTGATTTGTTACATAACCTAGAAAAGTATTGTTTCTGCGCACAATTCAAAAGAAATCCAAAGCATCGGGATAATTTGGCAGTAAACTAATCATGTAGGAAAGTTTTTGAACACTTCCTCTTCTTAAGTACTTCTGCTGAGCTGTACACCATTTCTGACTATTTTATCTCCCCCTTGAAGAATCCTCTAGTGCACCAATTGAACTGAAGCAAGAAAAATTTTCACATTTCTTCCAGAGAGTGAGAAACTTGTACAGTAATGATTTAATCTCTGAAAGTGCGCAGCTTGAGAAATAAATCACTTCTCACTGCTCGTGAAAATGACATTCTCGTAAAGTTTTTCAAAATCACCTCTCGAAGTGCCGGGAAATCTTGTGAGTCGCGAGAGAGTATCTCAATCTTCGGCATGACGCGCCCAGTTAATTGTGGAAGGCATTTTGTGTAAATTTTGCCGAATGCATAATGCGAAAGAAGCGCGTCTTGTAAACAGCATTTAGGACTTTTTCCTCCACACTTTCCCGACACTGTTTCCAACCACTTTCCCCATTCTTCCATACCCAGAAGTATAATTATTTGCACAAGGTAAATGCACTTTATTCAATGGGATTGAGTGTGAGTGAGATGCTGAGATAATTTTGGGGTGTGTAAACAATTCTGGTACAATTCTGCGATGAGGAAATTTATGGGGATATTGTCATAAAGATTGCGTGTGCAACATTTTGCCTCAATCTGTCCGTGATTTCGCAAGATTTGAGGAAATCCCAGGAAAATCGCGACTTTGATTTATGCGTGGAGTGTCTCGTGGTCTTGCTTTTCAGATCAAAGATGACTGAATGCCAGACGAATTTGCCTGACTATATTGCCAATAAATCCCCCCACAATGGGGCTCTCGTGTGATGAAGAGGGAAAAAGAGCGCGTCCAGTTGAGTTATTACTTTGATCCATCATCGGGAAAATATTCTAATATACCGGCTGTGTCGGAGTTTCCAAAGAAAGGAGCCGTAGAATAAATAAACCTCTCTGAATATGTCTTCAAGGTAAATAACTTTTATATATCCGCCACTTGATACATTTCAGAGATTGGGTTGAGACAAGGGGGAAATATTATGGTCAGAAGTGGTGTACAGCGAAGCAGAAGTATTTGGAAGTGGAAATGCTTGAATATTTTCAATATAGTGCATTCAAAAGTCACTTTCAACAGGAGTTAACAAAATAATATTGATGAAAAAGAATCTTTTTACATTTTTCTAGGTTATGTTGTGAATTTAAGACAAATTTTGTCACTAAATAACCTTCAAAATCATTCATTCTTGCGCCTTAACTGGTACAATTTGCATTTACTGGTGAGATAATAGTGAAATCTCATGAAGATCTCAAGCTTTCGATTTAAAACTGTGATAAAATTGATCATAACCTCTAAAATACTGTTTCAGGATAAAAAATTGTCTATTTCAAGAGCTGTTTTATTGATTTTCTATTGAATAATAACAAATTTCAGCTCATTGTCGATTTGTTTTGCCTTAAAAACGTTTCGAATAAGTTTCATTCAAGAATTCTTTCGATATCTCAAGGTAATTTCTAGGTTATGTTTCAAAATACATGCAAAAGAGCGATTGAAGATGAGACAAAGACTTCTAAATTTGAGGTTATGATGCTTTAGGCAAATGGCAAAATCTGTAAAGTTCCAAAAAAAAAGGTCTGAAAGTGGTGTACAAATTTCAGCTGTAATGTCCCCCTTGGGTTGAGATGCATTGCAAAGGAAAAGAGGAAAAACGCCAGGGCGAAGAGGTGTGTGGCTCTGCAGTGTGCTCGAGCGGACGATAAATAAAATCGGGAGTCAAATCAATGATGTAATTGGAAATGGAAGAATCTCTTTGCCATCTGACATGATGATGATGAGGCAATTAAAGTTTTATTTATACTCCTTCGCATATGCAGTGAGAGAAATTCGTTTCATGCGCGCACTTTTTCCGGCGGAAAACAAATCGACGCGCGGAACTTCAAAACGACGACGATCATATCGTAAAAAAATCACACTGGAAAATCAATCACGCACCGTCCGGCGGCCGGATAAATCAATTTCAGGGGGTGGGAAATTCGAGGGAATTTCCTTCACATAAAATATTTCCATCACACGCCGTTAATTGCGGAGGAAATCTCCGTGGATGAAATCCGGCTCAGCGGAATGATTAACACAATCACAATCTTGTCTCTCTAATATCATTCGATTTTTTTCTTATTTTATTTAATACTTTACATAAATTTTACAGTATTTCACTTACTTATGAAATTCTTACGTGCTAAAATCTTCTCTGCAATGTTGGTTTTATATTTTGTTGTATTTTCTCTCTTTTTTTTCACTGTCAATTACAAGCTACTAAAGCCAGAAATCAGAGTGAAATGATAATAGACGATTTCCGCTGAACAAGTGACTCGCGTCGTCAAAGGATCCTCAATAGTATTTACACCAAATAAAATCTCTCTTAAATATCCCTACGGCTAGAGTGAGTGTAACTTTTTCTTATCATGAGAGAAAGAGGAATGAATTTCTCGCTAAATCTATTCATAAATTCTGACATAAGACTCTATTCGAGATAGTTTGCATGATTTTTTAGTTACTTCATTTAGTCACAAAATGAAAATCAGTCAATTTTCTTGCTCATCTCTTGAGATTACAAATTGCATTCTCGTTTATTTTTTTTTAAACTCTCCACCTTTTTTGGATGACAACATGAGAATTTAAATTAGTATTGCAAAATTCTAATTTATCATATCTTCTTTATACTGTTTGCTTCCTTTAGAAAATTCTTTTGCTGAAAGGAATTTTTCTATAAGTGAGAGAAGAAAGAAAAATCACACATTTTTTCGACTCCACAGAATTGCTTCTTTTTTTTCTTCATGAACATCTTTTTCCTTTATACAAGTGACACACTTCTTTCAATCATCTCCTCGATGGAATTGGAATAGTTCCATCGTGGATCAGAGGAATCCTCCTGAGCAGACACAATTTTCTCTCTCTCTCTCTCGGTTTTTTTTCCTAAGGAGTTTTGCGACGTGAAACATTTGGCGATAAATTGAAATTTAAATTACAACTTCTTTCCTCCTTGACAGATTTGTGAAGCTTTTTTTGTGCAAAGTTTAGGTTTTTTTTTTCTTCAAATTAAATACAGACTTTTTGTGGTTTTTCACAAGACAATCAGTGTTCAAATCCTTAATCGTTTCGTCATTTTCTATAGACTTTTTCTCCTAAGAATGATTATAATTTTCCTGTGTGTGTAAATATTTGAAATTTCAACCTAAAAGCTTGTTCTAATTTGTTCTTAAAATATGTGGAGCAATTCTCAGTCACACAAAAAATGTAAAAAAGGTGTTATATTGGGTTTAACACACGCTTTTGCTATTCTGAGTTAAAATGGCTCAAAATGGCGATTGAATCAAAATATTCACCACTTGTGTTATTTAGTATTCTGGCCAACATGTGTTAAACCATTTTGTATCGCCTGAAAATGTAATCATAACACTGTAGAATGTGTAAAGAGCAAATGAGTGACAGATCGGAATCTGCAAATATCTTGCAAAGATGGATTAATCTGCAATTGTGGCTTTAATTTTCAAGCATGAACATAAATTAAGTTTACAGTAAATTCTTTTTATCATGGATTTCCTGATTATGAATTTGAATATTTAAAATTTTGACAAATTTCACTATTTTTCCTCTCTTACACATTGTGGTGGCGCTTAAAACTCTAAAACATTGTTTTAGCGAGAATAAGAAACGCTGTTTTTGCTTACACATTTCGAATGTTAAACTTTTACATGTTTGAAGTTTAACATGTCTGTGTGTGACTGAAAATTGCTCCAATGATCTAGATTTAATCGTCTCTCCGGTTTTCACGGAAAACCATAATTTCGCAAAGCGACTCAAGAGTCTGAATGTAGTGAAAACTCGCTTACTTGCTCAGGAGGCTTCCGCCGATCGAGGCTTTTACACTCCGTACTTCACGCAGTCCTGGTAGTAGCCCACGTGGGGTCGGTAGTGGCCTAGGTTGGTGGGCAAGTGGGCCGTGGCCGCGCCGGCGAGCACCGGCGGGCTGCCGGACGCCAGGCTGCCGCCGCCGGGACTCCCGGAGTCCATCTGGCAGTGCTGGCTGTGCTCGAAGACGACCATGTCGCGGAAGCCGGCGGGCGGTGCCGACGACACGATGGCCACGGACGGCGCCGAGGCGCCGCCGGTGCCGTTGGCGTTCGCGTCCGGCGGCGTGTCAGGCGTGTACCAGCCGCCGTGCGGATGGTGGTTGGTGTGGTGGTGGCGCATCTGCGAGCCGGCGAGGTTGTCCTCGTTGAAGTGGTACGCGGCGGAGTAGGCGGAATGGTGGAGTCGCGGGTTGTAGACGTTCATGAGGGAGTCCACGGAGAAGCCGTGCTCCGTCCCGGCGCTCAGGTGGTTCATCTGCGAGGCCAGCGTGTCGTGGCAGGCATTGAGGATGGAGGCGCCCGTGAGGCCCTCCTTGGTCATGCACTGCGTCGCGAGATCGAGGCCGGGCTCCTTCTTGAACTGCTGGTGCTTCCCACCGTCCAGCATGGCATTGGTCACCAGCTTGATGGGCTTGATGTCCGTCATCTTGTCCTCCAGCGCCAAATTCTGCCTCTTCAGGCTCTCCTCCTTCTCCCGCAGCGCGTCCTTCTTCTTGAATCTCCGTCGCCGTCGCAAGAACGATCCATTGTCGAACATATTGTACGAGTCCGGATCCAGAGTCCAGTAGCTGCCCTTGCCCGGCTTCTTGTCATCCCTCGCGACCTTCACGAAGCACTGGAAGGATGATAGTTTGTTTTAGGCCCCAATTAGTCCTCTAATCTGTATTCTCTGGGGTTCTAGGCTAAAATTCCTCTGCAGACAATACTTTTGAAATGCTCTAAAAAAGAAACTTACCTCGTTGAGTGAGAGATTGTGGCGGATGGAGTTCTGCCAGCCCTGCTTGTTGTCCCTGTAGTAGGGAAATCTGTCCATGATGTACTGATAAATCCCATTGAGGGTGATCTTCTTCTCCGGCGCATTCTGGATGGCCATGGCGATGAGGGCGATGTACGAATACGGCGGCTTCACCATCTCCTTGTTCTGATGATGGGGACTCGTGAGGGCATAATTGCTGGGATAGCTGTAGCGCGAGAACTGATCGTATGCATAGTGCGGAGCCGGACCCATTGTGGCCCCGGCGGCGCCCGGATAGCCCGGCTGGGCGTGAGCGTAGTGGCGCGAGAAAGTGTTCTGATCCGTGAAGATTGTGTGCATTGTGTGGCTGGGTTACAATTTCCGCGGGCACATGCCACAGGTTCACGCACTCTCCGGGTCAATCACACCCCAACACTGACTCACGCTGAGGAATTGCACAGTGTCACGGAGAGATAAACAAGAGATCAATTTTGCCTGCACTTTGCTTGGCATCACTCAACACATTCAGCACATGGTCATTGTCCTGGCATTTCCGCAGGACTTAATCTCTGGAGTCACAGAGAGTTCACACAACAGTAGAAATAATAGTAAATATCCCGCGTATCCTTTATCACGGCGGTTCACACGGATCACATAAAAGTCCTGGCAGAGATTTGAGGAGAGACTCTCCACGGTGGTGGAACAGTGCGTGAGCTGAAATGCGTCCTCAGTTCTTCACACTTGCACACAAACTGTCGATCGCACCGGAATTGTGGGAATCTCCAACACTGCGCCAGCCAAACACTGCCACACAGCGGGCTGCTAATCTCCTCAATGAAAGCCTTCTCTCTCTCCTCTCTCTCGCCCTCGCCCCTGAAGACATCAATGGGAAGAGCCGAGGTGGCTCACAGACAACACACGCGCGCACATGGCGGGCCTCCTATTCGGCGCGACTTTGCCTACCCCTTCGCGCCAGAGCAGGATAACAACCGTGTCTCCAACGCGGTGGGTGGATATCCTTCAGATGCCGAGGGGTAGCGCCGTGTTTTTCAATTCAATATTTTCATTTTTAATTACAATATTTATTGTCATGGCGTCGTGCAACAATATTATTCTATTTACATTATTATTAGGCTGCAAGATGAGCTGAAAAAAGACACTCAATTGACTCAGAAGATACACGCGCGCATTCTTCTTTTCCATCACGAAATCATTGCCATTTGGAGAAGAAAGTCAAAGGCAAAAAGTCACTGTGAGAGGTGATGAGAGAGTTCTGTTTAAAATTGCCAGAGTTGAGAGTGGGAAAATCCCATAATTTTCCAGGATTATCCACCTCCTGCTGTCAACAAAGCATTATCGCCGTCCTAATTGCACCGAAACTTCATGAATCGATGCCCAAAAGGCCCGAATTAACGGAAATGACAGGCAGAAAGAAGTCATTTGACTGCAGGATTTAAGATTTAGACGATTATCCATGATAGTTTTTCCTGATAATTCCTCAAGATTCCTCATTTTCATCTGCACAAATACCCTGAAATTTCTTTAAGAAACCCAACACAACTATCTGCCTCGCTCACATCAGTCTCTACCAACACACTTTCATTGATACGCCATGAGAGAAACGCCCAAATCCCCGGATGGGCTTTGCCGGCACAGAGCAACGCCCCCCAAAATGGGTTTCTATCTCTAAAATTCCACAACCCACTTGCAGCGCGACGTTGCCGACATAAGGGTGTGTGCTTAAATGGGGTGGCGAGGACAATGGAGTGGATTTAGAACACATAATGTACTCTGTTATGGCCTGAAACAGGCAAATTCAATTTTCCCAACGCACACACACACTCACTCTTATTCGTTCTAAGTGGATTAGTGAGGGGAAAAGTTCACCCTTCCCGCGGTAAGTCAGTCATGAGATCGCTTGGAAAAACCGCGCTTTGTTTTTCCAAGACACATGGCGGCGTTTAGTGGCGAAGGGTGCGAGGGAGACAACTTCGTGGGGGTTTTCACGACATTCCTGCCCAGAGTGAATGCAGGAAAAATTCACAGCATTTCACCCCTTGTTTTATTTTGGGATCACAACTTCACAACTGCGGGGAATATTGTGAAGAAATCTCAAAAGTTAATTGGGCGAATCGAAAAGACCAATATTTACGGTTTAGAAGAGGAGTGTGGCCTTAAAGCCGGACGAGGGATTCAGGATTGTCAAGGAAGGATTGAGAAAATCAAATATTGACGACATTTTCACCATAAATTTAATAGATTTGCTTAAGTTCCAATTCAAGAAACTCGTAACAAAAGACATTCAATAATTAAGGTGTCGTTGCAACATTATATTCATAACATTTTAAATGAGCTGTCAAGAATATGATTTTGTAAGAAAGTCTTGGAAGATTACGACCTGAAAACGTTTCAAACATTGACATCTGAAGCAAATTCGTGTATTTTGTCGTTTGAAGACAAGAAAAGCTGAAAAATTCATGGGAAAATCGAGGAAATAGATAGAAATTATGTCTTTAGATTGATTAGTAAGGATTTATTGGATTTTTTTGGCCATTTTTACACACTTAAATGCACCAGATTGAGTTTTTATTGATTTCTGGACATTCTATGACATTTTCCAGAGAAATTTATTGATTTCTCAAAACATTTACAGATACAAAAAACTGAATGAATTTTTGACAGTTGAAATTCGTGTCAAATAAACTTGGCCGCCAATACAAGATGTGAAAACGTAAAGTTGCAACACAAAATTTGTAGTTTTAATGGATTGAAATACAAGATCTGTAATGTTGCAACGACCAATAAGGTAAATATCGAATATTTGCCATTATTTTGCTAAATAATCTCCTAAATATTCCTTCCCAAAAGTGAATAAGAAATTCACCTTTAATGACTTAAAACAATCTTATAAACCACAAAGATAATGTCAAATTGTACAAGAGACAACTGAAGAGATTGAATGCGAAGGGAATCTTACGAACTTCTTCGAATTATATTGAAGGTTTCTGGAACAATAAAAGACTCGCTGCCGAAGATGTCTTCAAAGAAACATCCCAATAAATACTGAGGGCAATTGGGGCAATCAATAAAAGCCTCCGTGTGTGGCTCTGTTTTTCGGCAGTGGTCCAGGGACCAAAAATCCCAGACGAGATGAAAGGAAATCCACTGAGATTTTACGACTCTCCATGATGACTCTATTTCCCCTCTTTTGTCGGGCCTCGAGTTAGCCGGAAAAAGAGCACAACTCACATTAATGCGAGTCAGAGTGTTTTTCTCCTCCAAAACGCAATTGCACACAGTTTTGAGGATTGCAAGACGATGTTTATCCGCAAGAAACAATCCCTTGTATCCTTTTTTCCCACTTCCTCCACCGGTTTTTCGGCCTTCCGAAAGGAGATCCCAAATTATATTTATTTATTGTTTTGCCTTCCCTCATGCCAAATGTTTTCCCAAACACATTCACTCACTGCTTTTTTGCCTCATCGCTGTGCCTTCTAATAATGTAAGTTAGAAAAATATTTTCAAATCGCCTGCAATATAAATATTATTTATTGTGTAAAAAAATAAATATCAAATACTTCAATGTCATTAAATGGACCGTCGGATGGCATCTTTTTTAAATTCCTTTCGCTGACCGGAGACAATCTGTGCGTGTGTGGGCAAAAAAGGGGAGGAAGAAGAAGTGAAGTCTGGAACACACAAGAAGAACAGCGTTTGAGAAACCCTTTGAGATGATAACAATTAATTGATCTCCTCAAATTTGCCAAAGCCCTTTTCTCAGCCACCACAAAACGCTGCGACGGCCGAAGAATGGCGAGGTGTCGCAGGAGATCCCATTAGGATTTGTGTCACCGCACAGGAGGAAAAAAGGAGACGGTGGGAAAAAGAGTCATCGTCGCGCGTGGAGAGGGATATTGGGAAGGTGGAATCACTTCCCTGGAGGATGTGAAAACAGTGACAGGAGGGCAAATTGAATGAAAACAGAGATTTCTCCTCAGCCGCCAGCAAACAATTTAGCAATTTATGCATAAATCCCCACAACCTTGGGAGTGATTGTGCATGAAGAAGATGAGGCTGAGGTGGAATTTGTCACGTTCCTCCTTTGGTACTCCATCAAAAATGTCTCTCGTCTTTCACACCTCGTCATGATCACTTCAATCTGTTGACCACAACACCCAACAACAGGTAGCTCTGCCCATTTTTTGCCCACCAATGCCTTCCACATCTCTCGAGAGGCTGCCAAATGTTAATCACAGTTCGATTTTTGGCTCAGCACAAGGGGAGGATAATGTGCCTTAAATCTGTACACCACTTCCTGACACTTTCAAGGCTTTAGAGTGTGTCTGAAACACTTGTTCTTGAATTATACTCATTTTCTTACGTTCTAATCTGATACTTCTATAAATATTCATTTAAATAGCGCTTGTTTTGGGCATTTTTTCGACCATAACCTCAAAATATTACCAAAAGATCTTCAAAAACTCTGTTTGGAAGCCTTTTATATCACAAAATCATGCATTACGATTTGCTAATGAACTCAAAATTGTTGATTTGAAGTCAAAATCGTACATATTCCAAGTCCAAATCAGCATTTTTGAGGTTATGATCAATCTTTGTACGATTTTCTGTGCTTTTTCATATCAAAGATTCAGAATATCACTATTTTTTCCATTAAATGCCTTATTCAGTTGCTAACTAGCAATCTCTCTGACTTTAGCGCGAGAATTGATGCGTTAAACTGCGAATTTTTCAAGACATTTATCCTTGATTCGTTACATAACCTAGAAAAGGATTATTGTGATTGTTTCCAGCGCAAAAACAAAAAGAAATCCATAGAATCGGGACAATTTGTCAAGAAAAGATGCACACAGAGAAGGAATATTGCATATTATATTGATTATTTATTATTTCCGCTGAGCTGTACACCACTTCTGACCATATTATCTACCCCTTGGCTCAGCATTGCAGTTATGCCTCAAATCTCTGTACTTGCTGGTCAACTAACTCTAATTTTTCTGAAGAAATTATTAAGAAAATATTGCTGAAATTTCCCCCAATTGAGCTGGAGAAAAAGAGAATCATTAGACTGTGATTTTTCACAGTTGGGAGCCTCCTTAGTCTGTCTCTTCTGCCTCTGCAATCGTCAAATGCAACAGGGAGGATTGTAAAGTTAAGCCAGAGATTTGTGTCTGGCCAGACCGACCAGAAAGAGACGACCAGCGAAGGGGAAAAAAAAGGTCGCAAGAGAGTCTCTCCGGCCATTCACAATTCGGGAAAAGCAAACAAATGTGTGGACCATTGAATGGACTGGAGCCCACGATTGAAATTACGCTGAGGATCGAATGGCCACTTGGAGAGTTCCTCATGAATAAATTCTCCCTGATGCGCCGTGAAAGGCGAGGCGCATTTCAATCGCAAAATGGGATGTTTTTACAGGCGCGAAGGAGGGATTTTAAAACCATATTCACTGCGTGTGTGGAAATAGTGAAGATGTCATTTTAATAAAAAAAAAATCTTTACTGAGAACTTCAATCTCAAGTGTTTTTCTTACAACTCTGAAACATTTTTCGACAATTTCCTCAAAAAGAGGGATTTTATTTCACTGGACAAAAGACACTGTCGTGAATGTGAGAGGAAATTGTTGTTAACGAGAATTGAGAATTACGATAGATTTGACTTTATTTTCTTTAAATCCGAATATCATTTTTTGCTGTTGTTGCTTCATTTATCAATAAATCTCTTCCCTTAATTTTGGTGATTATCTACATATAATACAGATATAAATTACTTTTTATCATAATGCATCAATAAGATCTAGTTAAATGTTGTTTTTTTTATTCCTTTATGCTGTAACTTTTATGTAGTTTACTCAATTGGGAGAAAAAGATGTCTAAGATTATTTTCTTTCTCTCGCAAACACTCTCAATCCTAATACTCCATTATTCATTGGATGAAACTCCGCGCTAAGCCATACAAATATACAAAAGAAGTGCTCATCGTTTTCGGCTCTCTCTCTCTCTCTCGCATTTACTTGCTCCAAACTATCAATAGAATGATAACAGCAACAATAGCAGCCAAGATAAGGGCTATGAATAGCTTCTTTTTTCGCAGTTTGTTCTGCAAGACAGACAAAAAGACGAGATGCTCTTCAGCTCAAAATCGCGCGCAAGTGTTTTGTGGTAGAAGTCACTCACCTGATACTGACTAGCCTTCTTGAGATTCTCCGCTCCCTCGGACACAAACACACTAGTCTGCTCCACGGACGCCTCAATGGAGTCCACCACGTGACCCTGCTCGTACACCATCGCGCCCAGCTTCTTGTAGATCTCATTCACGCCCACAATGTTCTCCTCCAGCTCGCGAATCGTGCGCTCCTGCTCCTCCAGCGCCTGCAGATCGATGTCCTCCTGCATCTGGGCCTGCGTCTGACCGCGACTGCCCGTGACGAAGTTGTCTTCAAAGGGACCGGAAGCTGTGGAATTGTGGCTGCCCGAGTGGGAGCCGGGCGGCTTGGGGATGGCCGAGGAGCGAGCCTGACGGATGGCATTCTTCTCGAAGTCCACCGTCTTGCGCTGCACCACCTGAAAGGCCGTCAGGGCGGACGTAAATTCATCCACAAGGCGATCTCGCTGGATCTTCAAGTGGCGATCCTTGCAGTTGTTCAGATCCTTCAGCAGATTGTCTGTGTCTGTGATCAGCTGCTGTGTGTACGTCCGGATCTGGTGGCTGAAGAGATGCAATGCGAAATATTAGCACAAAATCCTAAATGGGTTTGCATTTCCCCACATGATTAGCCCCCCGTGATGATTGAACTGACTTTTGGGAGAATCAATAATGTCTCATTCACGGTTACACCCTAGAAGCTCATTTAAATAAATAATTAAATTGGTAATGAACTCGGCGACACTCACAGCTGCTGCTTCAGTTCCGGAGAGTCTTGAGCCGTGCCGAACTGATTCACCATTCTCTGCATGGATGAAACTGAAAGAAAAACGTGCACAGACATAAAATAAAGCTATGCAGATCCCCAGCTCACTCTCGCGTGAGCGCTCACCATTCTGGAGGATCTTCTGGATGCTGGTGCCGATGGTTTGGGCCAACTTCTGGAAGTCAGCCTCTCTGCCATTGTTCGTCGAAGCGTACGTTGTCATCTTTACCGTTGATTTTCTCTGGATTACCCACTAGAAACACACCTGAAACCACAACAGCCCCAGTGTTTGATTATTGTTTAGCGCAACCACACCAATATTGATTGCCATTAATCCAATTTTGTAGGAAAATAAGAATCACACAAAGTGAGTCACTCCATTATTATTTTTCCTACGCATTGTCGCAATGGTGGCACAATTTCAGCGTTGATTCTCCACTCTGTACTCACTTGGAATGTCCTGATTTTACGTGAAAATCGTAGGGCAGCTCATAGGGCGCCAGTCAATATGGGAAACACAAGGAAAAAGTTGAATTCTAGGCTGGAAAAATCCCTTAATATTCTTTCGGGAAAAACTGCACAGCGAAAGTGACAAACAAAACGTCAACACTCTTTTCCCGAAGCCAGCGCCCTCTGTGTGTTGAGCGTGGCGGATTTGTGGCAGCGGCGCTGCTGGAGTATGTCAGTTTAGCACAGATTTGTCATTCGCGAGGTGTGGTGTGGATTTTTTCTTCAGGGAGTGAAACTTTAGAGCCCCCAAAGGGTCCACTCATTCAGTGAAAATGACCGGAAGACTGCCAGCGTGCGTTATTGATGTGGGCACTGGGTGAGTAGGCGTGTTTGCGGAAGCGCCACGGCTTCCCATTTGCATCCGGTGTCACTTTCCGGACTCTCCCCTGTGCAGGTACACGAAATTGGGCTTCGCCGCCAACAAGGAGCCCCAGTTCATCATCCCCTCGGCTATTGCCATCAAGGAGAGTGCTCGCGTGGGCGACCAGAATGCGCGGCGTGTGACAAAGGGCGTCGAAGACCTGGACTTCTTCATCGGGGACGAGGCCTTCAATGCCACGGGCTACGCCGTGAAGTATCCGGTGCGACATGGCCTGGTGGAGGACTGGGATCTCATGGAGCGCTTCCTGGAGCAGTGTGTGTTTAAGTATTTGCGCGCCGAGCCGGAGGATCATCACTTCCTGCTGACAGAGCCGCCGCTCAACACGCCGGAGAATCGGGAATACACGGCCGAGATCATGTTTGAGACCTTCAACGTGCCCGGGCTGTACATTGCCGTGCAGGCTGTGCTGGCCCTGGCCGCCAGCTGGGCGTCGCGTCCCGTGGAGGAGCGCACGCTCACGGGCATCGTGGTGGACAGCGGCGACGGCGTGACGCACGTGATTCCCGTGGCGGAGGGCTATGTGATTGGCTCCTGCATCAAGCACATCCCCATCGCGGGCCGCAACATCACCTCCTTCATCCAGAGCCTCCTGCGGGAGCGCGAGGTGGGCATCCCGCCGGAGCAGAGCCTGGAGACGGCCAAGGCGATCAAGGAGAAGTTCTGCTACATTTGTCCGGACATCGCCAAGGAGTTCGCCAAGTACGACACGGAGCCCAGCAAGTGGATCCGCCACTACGAAGGCATCAATGCCGTGACGAAGGCCCCATTCGGCGTCGATGTGGGCTATGAGCGCTTCCTTGGGCCTGAGATTTTCTTCCACCCGGAATTCTCCAATCCCGACTTCACCACGCCTCTGTCCGAAATCGTGGACAATGTGATCCAGAACTGCCCCATCGACGTGAGGCGTCCGCTGTACAACAACATCGTCCTCAGCGGCGGATCCACGATGTTCAGGGACTTCGGCAGGCGCCTTCAGCGCGACATCAAGCGATCCGTGGATCAGCGACTGAGGATCAGCGAGAATTTGAGCGAGGGAAGAATCAAGGTGAGTTGGAGTCTTGCAGGACGTCTTATCGGACGCTGTCTTATTCGATTCGAAGTGGAAAAATGTTGAGTGACTAACGCGCTATCTTTCTCTTCTCTCTTTCTTCTTATCGCGCGCAGCCCAAGCCGATCGATGTGTCCGTCATTTCGCACCACATGCAGAGATACGCGGTGTGGTTCGGCGGAAGCATGTTCGCGGCGATGCCGGAGTTCTACCAGGCCTGCCACACGAAGGCCTCTTATGAGGAGTACGGGCCCAGCATCTGTCGCCACAATCCTGTCTTCGGCACGATGACCTAAGCTGGGCGCGGAGAATCCTCACACATTCCGGGCGCAATAAGAAACAACGCTGGAGCTGCATTTTTTCAACATTTCATCTCTCTCTCTCTCAAGAGAGAGGATTTCCCAGTTTGTAATCCCCAAAAATATAAAAAAAAACAGTGAGGTTTTCTTTGCCGCACCACAAAGTCTGCGACTGTGGAGGACAAAATATAGAGCGAGAGAAGCGCGAAGTGAAAAGAAATAGACGTGTATTTGGAGTTTTAAAATTTTACACATTTAATATTTTTCATCTTCTCACTCTAATTCCCGCTTTCCTTCTTCTTTTACTTCCACTTATAGATAAAATGTTTTTACTGCTGTATTATTATTTTTATATATTAGGATTAATTGTAGTGATTTCTTGAAATCTTACTTTTTCTTCTTCTTCCACAATCAATTATCATTTATTTTTTCTTATGTTTGTGTAAACAAATACAATGAAGAACTTTATCTGCTTAAATATTTTCTTTCTTTTTTTCTCTCTTAACTTCACTATTTATGCAGTTTATGTTTTTTATAAATGTTTTACAACGTGTTATGCACAAGAAAAAAGTCTCTATGAGGGAATAATTCTTATATAATTCATTTCTGACGTCCTTTAAGTTGTACAACTTTACGGGGGGGTTTGTTTTTTTCGCCTACAAAGGGAGGCAAAGAAGTTTTCTTGTTTACTGGAACGAAAAACACACACGCAGAGAGTCTTGAAGCATCTTCACTGGGATGGGAAGAAAATGTGTGTGTGTGTTGGCAAGAAGAAAGTCTTCTACAAAAAACTTCAGTAAAGCCGTTTTAATTGACGTGCAAAGAATAATTCTTGAATTCCGTTAATGAATCACACTCTCATTGACGCTCAAGTCCCAACTCCAGCCCATTGGGAAGATGATCTTCAAAACTCCCTGCCCACGGGATGACTATTCTCACGATCTTAGTAGACACTGGACAGTTTGGGGATTAAAGTTTACAAAAAAATGAAAATCACAAGAGAAACTTACACATCAACGCGAGTCAGAGCTTCTTATGTCAAGTAGTCATTCGCCTCATCCTCCGTGCTCTCATTCTCATCCACATCGGCGTCATTGGGGCGCTCTGGGACGCGAATGTTGGACAGGAAGTCCCTCAGTGCGTCCACGACGGAGTTGAGCGAGTTGCGGAATTCCGTGTAGGATTGAAAGCCTGCCGCCTCGTCGGCGGGTTCATCCGCCTCAGCAGCGGCCCTGTTCGCCCCCGCTGCCGCCCCGGCCGCCGCCCCCGCCGGCTGGTTCATGGAAAAGCTGGGCAGCAGGCTCTGGAAGAACATGGAGAGCGGCGATGTGTTCTGCAGCAGAACGTTGTTCGTGGGCGACAAATTGGGGCGCGTGTAGATGTTGATGGCGTCCTGTGGCGGCAGGGGATCGTACATGAGGATGGGCTCGTTCTCCTTGGCTATGAAGGGCGCCAAAGGGACCTTCTCCTTGTAGTCCGACAGCACGATGTGGCGCAGGATGGCTCGCGGCGGGCTCACGTAGCGCTGTGATCTCTTCGTGGCGAATTCCGCCACGAGTTCATCCTTGGCATCCACGCGATCCAGCACCACGGCCACGTTGCGCTCCAGCCACGGCAGGATCTCAGCGTCGCGCCAGATGACTTTGGAGCGGCAGATGTAGAGCGAGGCGAGTTGTTGCAGAGCCGCCGGCTGACTGCTGGTGGCCAAGGGGCCGAAGTAGCTGTGGGAATTCGCCCTGGAGTCCACCTGAATGGACAGAGCGTCGAGTAGAGGTCTCAGGATTCCGGGGAACATAAGTAGGGCGTACTGAAGAGCCGCATCGGCGCCTGAGCAGTCATCATCTGGAAGACGACACACGCCAGTGTTCCTCAAAGTGTCTCAAGCGACAACAACACAAGAAAAACTCACCTTTGTGGATGAAGAAGAGGGCCAGAGCGTAGGAAAAGGCCATGTTGGGCAGTTGAGACAGATTGTTGGAGCTCTCCCACTCGTTGTACAGCTCCACCAGCCACTCATACTGCTTCGCACGGATGGCATAGTAATCCAGCACCAGGATTACGGCCAGAGGATCATTGACAGGGTCCAGCGCCAGCAGCAGCTTCGACACTTCCAGGGCAGTGCGCGTGCAGGCGCGCGCCTCGAGGTACTGAGCATGCTTGAACAGCACCACGAAGAGCGCCCGGTTCTCCTGGCGGCGATAGTCCAGCCGACACTGCCCGGAAGTGAGGCTGAAGAGGTTGTGGAAGGAGGACTCGAGCGAGAAGATGGCGTGCTCAATCAAATCCGACGCCATGGCGTTGTCCTCGGACATCTTGCACAGCTCACTCAGCTGGATCAGCGAGTCCACGTGGTAGGGCTGCTGGTTGATGATCTGGATGATGTTGTCTGAGTCCATGCTCTCCACGGCGGCCAGGAATTTGTTCTGCAGCTGCCGATACGACGGACTGTGCTCGAATGTGAAGTATGTGACGTGCTTCTCTGGCACACGAGACGTCCCAGCCACTTCGGGGTTCGCCACCACACTCATCGAGATGCCCGTCTTGCCTACCGGAGGCCAGTTCTCCTTCACATTCACCAGCCAGGTGGACTTGAGCGGTCGCTGGCCGCGCGTGTTGCGCCGCTTCGCCTGCTCCGCCTGCACAACACGACAGCCGAACATCCTCTTCATCTCGTATGAGGGATTCAGGTTCTTGTGCTGCACCGACAGCAGCGACTTCCCGGCCACCTCGCAGGCGCTCTTCGACACTGGCGACGCCGGCAACACGTAAGACTCGCCAAAGAGTTTGTCCACCTCCCGGACAGTCTTCGTGATCACGTCAATCTGCAAGGGAGTCAGCAGATGAAGCCACGTCCTCACTTTTACCCGCCAAAGGATACTCACGTCAGCATTGTCCTCTGAGCTACGCCTGTGCGCGCTGGACTGCTTCCCTGCCTTCCTCTTTTTGCGCTTCTTCTTCTTCTTCGCCTGCTCGCAGGCATGAGCATTGCTGGCCGCCGAGGCGTGCTCCGTCTCGTTGTCATCCTCCTTCACCTCGCTCTCCGACGGCGATTGCTGGTTCAGCTGCAAGAGACATTTTCCGGTGACTTCCGGACAGTGTGAGGAAAAATCTCCGCCACTCACCAAATCATAGCGATTGATGTTGAGCTGCTTCTTCTTAGCGCCACCCGAAATCTCCGTGTCCACGTCAGACAGCTGATCGTCCGCCAGCTGCTTGATCTCCAGCTCTTCCCCGTGGAGCTTCTTCAGCACCCGCGATGACATTTCAACCACCTCTTCGCACACGCGTTTCCTGCACAAATCCCACGCTTCCTCGCACGCCCGTTCGCTGTGTCCTCAAGTAATTGTTTTCCAATCAAGCACAACCACTCCTCGCAATTATTTACGCATTTTCACGCCAAAAAAACACCCTATTTTTGCATGCAACTCCGCGCAGCACGTAAAAAAAAACAGGGGCGACTGAGATAATTTCGCCGTGAAACGTCATGGAAACCAAAACATGCGGCGAAAAAGTGTTCTAGCACTTTGCGATACTGGCGCCAATTCGTCATCGTGTGGGCGCAAAGTTAGATACTCCAATATGTAAATTCCGCTTGGAAAATCAAATTGGTTTCTTGTAGGCAATTTTCTCAAGAGATTGCTAAGTATTTTGAGAATTTTTCGCGAGCCTCCCTTTACTGTATTGATTTTGTTCCACATTGCACCCCCAAAGTGCTAGAAATTTTCCCTTGCAAAATGGCGGTGTATGCGGCAATTTTACAGAAGTGAAGAGTGTAATCACGCTGATTTTGCAGTTATTAGGCGTTTTCCTTAAGTTCTCCGACCACCGCGTTGCCCGCGGGTGTTGTATTCTGTGTAAAATTATAAAATAAAAGAGTGTTTCGCGTGTTTGTGCAGTTAAATTGATGTGAAACAGTCACAAGCATTTCCGAGACGCTATAGCTTTGTTTTACTTAAAATCCACAAATTCCCACTATTTCACCATGATGAAAAAGGATAAACCACTCTTTTATGATCCACTGATCATCTCCCGCGTGAAACAGGTGAGACTTTGTGGGTATTTTCGGGGATTTCTGCATGGGTTTAGTGGAGCGGTTGAATTGAGGTTAGATTGATTGTCATTCCCGGTAATAATGTGGGGGTTTTTCTCTCTTTCCGGCCACCTCCGGAGGACAGTACCTGGAAGATAATGTGCACCAGACTTATGTGGATGTTGCCGTGATGGCGCAGGATTTGCAGGACAAGTACAAGGAGTACAACAAGCGCAAACCGGGATCATTCCGGGTGCTTGTCGAGCAAGCGTACAAGACTGTCCTGCACAGCTACGGTCTGGACAGCAATCCCAGCAGTGATGATGACGGTGATGTGAATTCAGACGTGGAGTACATGGAGGACAATCAGCAGAAGCAGGATCCCATGAATGACGCCCTCCAGTCACTGTATATGAACAACAAGGGCAAACGCGCGCCCGCGACCACAATTTCGCAGGGCGACGACTTGATAAACATCAGCAGTGACGAGAGTGGTGACGAGTCAGCGTCCAAGAAACACCCCATTCTTGCCAAAGTCACGCCGGACATCATTGTCACGAAGCTTCAGAAGGCTGGCGAGCTGCAGAAGCCACAAATCGCCTCGAAGACCGCCGATTCTGACGCCAATCAAGGCCCGGCGTCGAAGAAGCGAAAGGTCGACGCGCCGGCTGATCTCAAGAACGGACCGCGAAGCGATGTGGCGATTGAGAAGAAGAGTGAGAGTCAGGAGTTGCCTGATGGCCAGGATGCTGTGGCTCAGGCGCTGAAGATGCGCAAGAACAAGAAAGATGCCGCTGTGAAGCACTCAACGGTGACTTTTGAGAATTTCGGCGGCAATGAGAAGATCCTCAAGGAGATCTGCGAAGTGTTGCTCTATTTCAAGCGTCCGCGAGTGTGCAGATACATTGGGATGTCGCCACCGAAGGGATTGCTGCTCCACGGACCGCCGGGATCGGGAAAGACTCTCCTGGCTCATGCCATTGCAGGGGTGAGTATTTGAAGCCACTCTTCCATTGCCTGTACTGACGCTCTTCTCTTCCTCTTTCAGCAACTCAACGTTCCCATGATGGAAATCGCTGCTCCTGAGTTTGTTACCGGCATTTCTGGAGATTCTGAGGCTCGCATCCGGCGCATCTTCGATCAAGTGGTGGCGGTGGCGCCTTGTGTGCTCTTCATTGATGAGATTGACGTGATTTCGGCGCACAGGAACAATGCCCAGAAGGACATGGAGCGTCGAATTGTGGCGCAGCTGATCATCAGTATGGACAGTCTAGACAAGGTGCCGAATGGCGATCAAGTGCTGGTGATCGGAGCCACGAGTCGCGTGGAGGTGTTGGATCCGGCATTGCGTCGTGGCGGACGATTTGACATGGAGATTTGTCTGGGCATTCCCGATCGCCAAGCCAGGGCGGACATCCTGTCTGTGATCTGTGACAAGATGACACTGGAGCGTCCGTTTGACTTTGACGCTCTGGCTGCCCTCACGCCGGGCTTCGTGGGTGTGGATTTGGTGACGCTGTCAATCACAGCCGCGAGGGTGGCGTTCATGAAGGTGATCATTGCGAAGGAGGGCAAAGCATTCCTTCAGAAGTATTCGAAGAGTCAAGAGGAGGTGACAAATCTCATGCCGGTGGTGAATTTGACCGATGAGACAATTCTCATGGATGTGGATGATGTGACATCGTCCACGAAGGAGGATAAGATCCCAGACACACCACAGATTGTCATTGATGACGAGGAGATGCCGGAGAAGGTCAATGAGAAACCCAAAGATGTACCAGTTGAGGAGATAAAGGAGAATGGAAGTGCGGAGAATAATGTTGAGTCGACAAATCCCGATGAGGCGGAGAAAGGAGATAAACCACTGGACACTGCCACAGAGAATCCGCCAGTTGTGGAGCCAAAACAGGCAGAAGAGGCGGTTCAGGAAGTGCAGAAAGTTGCCGAGGAGGAAGTGAAGAATGGCAATGTTACCTGCAATTCTGCACAATCCTCCAATGATGTCGAGACATTGCCAGTGAAAGTGACTGAAGATGTTCCTCCGAAGGAGACTTGTGAATCCAGTGTGAATTCCTCAGAAACACTGGCCGAGACTCTGCTGAAGGATCCGAAATTCCGCCTGCAACTCTCGCTCAGTGAGATGCTGAATCTGCTGAGCAAAGATACATCGATTACGCAGAGTGACCTGAAGGACTTCTGTATCACCATGCAGGACTTCGAGGAGGCGCTGAAGACCACACAGCCCGTGGCGAAGCGCGAGGGCTTCATCACGGTGCCCAATGTCACGTGGCAGGACATTGGATCGCTGTGGGGCATTCGGGAGGAGTTGAAGCTCGCCGTGACGTCGTCTGTGAAGTATCCGAAGAAGCTGAAGGCGCTAAAGCTCGAGCCATCGTGCGGAGTGCTGCTCTGCGGACCGCCGGGCTGTGGGAAGACGCTGCTGGCCAAGGCGGTGGCCAATGAGGCGGGCATCAATTTTATCTCAGTGAAGGGACCGGAACTGCTCAACATGTACGTGGGCGAGAGCGAGAGGGCTGTGCGACAGTGTTTCCAACGTGCCAGATATTCGGCTCCGTGTGTCATCTTCTTCGATGAGTTCGATGCGCTGTGTCCGAAGCGCTCCAATCGGACGGAGAACACGGGAGCCGCTCGTGTGGTGAATCAGTTGCTGACGGAGATGGACGGAATGGAGGACAGGAAGGGTGTTTTCGTCCTGGCGGCCACAAATAGACCAGATATGATTGATTCGGCTGTGCTGCGACCGGGACGCTTCGATAAGATTCTCTTTGTGGGCATTCCAAATCAGTGTGATCGAGAAGACATTCTCAAGGCGCTGACAAAGGTGAGAGATTTGTGGATTGTTTGAAGGATGAGAAGAGGATTTAATTACTGTTTCTCTTGCAGAATGGCACAGAACCTCGTCTGGCTGATGATGTGGTGTTTGAGGAATTAGCCGCGCAGTCAGAAGGATACACAGGAGCGGACTTGGCCGGACTGGTGAGACAGGCGAGCATGAAGGCGTTCAAGGAATCTCTGACGACAGATAGTAGCGATTCGGACGATATTAAAGTGACCAGAGACAATTTCATGCAGGCTTTCACAGAAACCAAACCTTCAGTCTCACAAGAGGTGAATTTCTGACAAATTGAGTCTCTTTTTCAGTCAAATCAAGTCATTTTTCTTCCCTCTTCATTTCACAGGAGAAGGAGAATTATGAGAGACTTCGAGTCCAGTATTCGTCGCTATCGGGATAGAGAGAGAGAGAGAGAAAAGGTGGCCATAATTAAGAATTGGGAGGAGATTCATGACGGAAGAACAGTTGAAGGTATGATTTAGAGATTTTAGTGAAAGATTGCGAAGGAGCGTGAGATCATTTTGTTGATTTAATGTGAATTTGACACGATACTGAAGGACAAACATGAAATAAATCAATCATTTGGTATTTCTACTCTGTTACCGTTGATTTATTTTAATATCTTGTCTTGCCTTGCGCTGACTTTGGGTGGTTTTTCTTTTCGGGCGAGTGGCACGAGATTTATCATCACAACTGCAATTTGACCGCGATGTTGCTCCGGGCGCACAAAAAGCGGCTGGGGAGAGTGTTTGGGATCCACCCATGCCAGATTGATTTTGTATCTGGAGGCTAGAGAGCGATGGAAGTTGTTTGCATGCGAAATGTGTTGTGGAAAGGCAGGGAATTTCCCTCCCCACAAACCAGCAGCTAATTTTCCCACTCGTGCGCGGCGAGGGGAGCAGAGCGAGAGTAAACAGTTTACAAAGTTTTATTGTGGCACACAAAAGCATTCTTCGTCGCGGGGCTTTTAGCACTTGTTTCCGCCACTTGACTTGAAAATTGCCACGAGGGTGGATGTCATGATGGAATCATCCCCATCATTAGCTGTGTAAAAAGCATTATTGTGCGCCTCCGCTGGGCCGAGTGGGAGAATCTCTCTCTCTGTGTTGTGCCTCGAGGGCGGCACCTCCGCTTTGCATAAAGTGATGAATAAAATATGAATGACAGGGAGTAATTAAATTGCCAATGTGTGCTGATCCAGCGAGGGTTTGGGGGCGGGGAGACTCTTAAAATTCACATGATTTCCCATCGTGTGTGACCTCCGGGGGTGTAATTGGATTTTGCCACCCGCAAAACTGTGTTTGGGAATTGCAATCTAACCAGATATTACTTGTTTTGGGGATGAATTCCATCTCACCACTGGAGAATTGCTGAAAGGGTAGATGAAAGATTTCATTGAGAATTCATATCTTGACCAATTGGAATACAATCAGCCAAAAGGCAGATAATATGCCTTCAAGACACTTCTGAACGTCTTTAAAGGCATTTTCTATCGCCTTTTAGACTTAAAAGAGGTTCAATCTCTTCAAATGCTCAGATTTCAGATCGTAAGAAATGATCTTAATGTCTTAGGATTTATTCATGAACAATTTCTCTCCTGATTTCCTAGTTTTATCTTCACAAAATACCTAGAAAAATTCTTATCAAATTGTGAGATGATGAAAACCAGAGGGCTGAGTCTTGAAATTCGTCAAAATCAGAATCAGTGGAAATTGACTGATTTTGAGAAATTTGCGAGTCTTGAGTAAAAATCAGTCAGAAACCGAGTCAAAATTGGCTCAAAATCAATAAACTCGTGTTGACATGAGAACATCGAGTCAACACGATTGCTCAATGTCTCAATTTTAAGATTTTACTTCAATTAGAGTATCAAATTGCCATCGATGGCATCGGAAATGGATAATAGAATAATTATTTTAATTGTTCTTAATATTATATTGATAATTTTCCTTATTATTGCTGAGATAAAAGTATTTCTTTTCTTGCGCTCGCGTAAGAGGCTCAGAGACGGAAAATAATTTCTTTCCGTGCGCTCTACCTAGTCCCTCAGAGTCCCTCTTTGCAGTGTCGAGGCAACGATAATCCCAATTTTATTATGTCATCTATAATCCTTGCCATAAACATTTTCAGTTTTGAAGGTTTCTTTAATTGGATGGAATTCCCAAATTCTTCGCCCTTTGCTTAGTGCTTAAGTCTCATGAATCAATGAATCAATGAACTGAACATGTGAACATATAAGACAAATCCAAGTGTAATCAAAAGATGAACAATTGGTTCAACAAAAAAAATGGATGGAGAAATTTTTGCAAAGGGGAGGAAGTCGATCCCCATCTCGTGGGGCACCTCAAGATCACTCGCAGAAGTCTCATTCTGCTCCTGGGACTTCTCGTATAACCGCAGGAGAACATCTGTATGTTAATAATGCACATTATTCACATATTTGTCGCCCGAGGGTTAATTTTGAGCCTTCTTAAGGCGTGGGCAGACACCCCATGATGATTCTTTGGGGGTAAAAGTTAAGTTTGAGAAGCATTTTTATCATTTTCTGCCTCAAACACCTCAACTTGGCTCAAATCAAAACAACAATATGACGTTTCTGCCTGCGTTCCGAAAGCATTTCCCCTCCCGAAAAATTCCGAAGGCTGTTTTTGACTCAAGACTCACGAAACTTTTAAAATTGTGATCATGTCAACAAGTTAAAAATCGATGAGGTTCTGTTGATTCTGATTTTGATCATTTTCAAGACTCAGCCCTCAGGTTTAAAATCTTCTTAGACTGCTGGAACTAATTTAAATCCTTTCAAACTTAGAAATGCGTACACAAGTGATGAATTCTGCTGATAAAAAAATAAAATATTTACAGTTTCAATAAAAATTTTAATGATTTTGAGGATTGAAATCAATCACATAACCTAGAAAAGCGATCAAATTGATTTTTCTTAGCAGAATAATTGAGAAATTGCCTCTAATTGTTAAAACAGAAGCTTTTGCCGTGCAAATATTCTAAATATTTCACCACTTCCAATTCCCAACACTTCTTTTAAAGCTGTACACTACTTCTGGTTATAATATCTGCCCCTTGCAATATCGCAAGTGTTTGACGATAAAGTGTGCTGAGCAGTGCGAAATAAAATCTCGTCCGACTGTATTTATTTCCTTTCAACTCTGTGTCTTTGTCACTGAATTCTCAGTGGATTAGCAGAATCAGTGGCACCTCTATGAGTCTCATAGTAATTGCATTCGACGCGAGAAGTGTCGTAGTCCGATTTGAGGATTTCCTCCAAAATTGCCAATTACAATTTGTCTGGGTGGAATTTGATTGATCCTCTCACGGCCGGAGAATCAATCACCACGTCTCGATCGGGCCGTGACACGGTCCCAGCGGACCAAAAGAGAGCCTGAGCATCGCTCAGCGGAATGTCTCTATTCCGTGTCCTGATTCCCGAAGGGGGAAGAGATAACGCAGCGTGGCTGAGACGAATCGTGAACGATGACTTCCCACACGATTGTTTGCACGGCACGCGACCAAAGAAGGAAGTGAATCGAATTGCTCAACAAATGCTGACATCCGTTTTGGCGGCAATTACAAGACGCTTTTCCTCCCTGTTCTTCCCATTGATAGGGACTTTAGAGTCCAGGAGAGATGTTGAGGATGAGGTCGCGATAGAATTTTTGATAAAGTAGCGAGACACCCTCATGATTAACCATGATATTATTCAACTTTTTCCTCAGCCACTGTCGCAATCTTGTGATTTATTTCGCATCAATTCATTAAAGGCTGAGACTGTGCGAGAATCATCCCCGAATACAGACGGAATATGTTAACGAGGATTCCCATAAATCCATTTAGAACTTAACAAACACACCCCAAAACAGGCGACCCTCTCGGCGTTCAGCACAATGAATATGGATCGGTTGCATTTACGGATCAGGCAGATAATTAAATCATAACCCTTGTTCACGGTTCAGGCTTGAGCATCGCGCCGGAGAGAGAAAATGTGATGAGCAGAGGAAGTGATTCGGGGCGATAGAGGGGAAAAAATTAAATATGAAATCACAAGTAATCTGTTTTAGAGATTCTGCATTTTAAGCTCATTTCTGACGATGTGCAAATTATTAATCAAATTATCGCGGCTTCCCTTCAAACTGGATGGAAACTCATTTTGGGATTTGCCGTCTTTTTTTTCTCTTCCACGCCGAAATAAATGCGGGGAAATTTCCAATATATCTATTGATGAGGAAGAGCACCTGATTACGTATGGAAATGTGATTGGAAAATGTTGATTTTGCTCCCTCTGACAAAGGCAAAAATATTCTCTCTCTTACATTCCTGCGCGGCCCTTCCGGCATCCTTGAAAGAGCAGATCCTTCGACTGCACTGACAGAGGATTTCACATCGATTTTGCATGAATAAATTTACACATCGATATTTGTTCTATCGTCTTCCGCTCTGATGAATCAAAAGAAATGTTTTATTAATGAGCCACTCGTCGTTCTTATCGCCTCACGGAAGTACTTTTCTGCCACTTCTTCCGCATCTTTCGCCAAAGGATTGAAGCGCGCCAAAGTTGTGGCTGGAATAGGAGATGCAATCAAGATATTTGCGAGGACTTCCTTCCGCTCAATTACGCCCCACTTTTTCCTTTCGTCCTCTCGTGGGCATAAATCAGACGAGAAATATTCCTCAACATATGTGGAAGACTTTTAAAATATTTTCTCCCTCGCCACCATCAATCTGACTCATCATCTATTAAATGGAAAGTTTTTCCGTGAAATGCGTGTTGAAACAAAGTGCCAAATCATCCATTGGCGGAAGAAGTTTCTTGCGAATCAATGCATGACATGCAAATTGTGTCAAAGAAAGAATCAAGGGAAAGATATTATGGTCAGAAGTGGTGTACAGCTCAGCAGAAGTATTCAAAAGTTACAAAGAATTATTCTTCGCATCATTTTAGGTTATGCGATTAATTTAAGACGAACTTTGTCACTAAATAACCGTCGAAATCATTCATTTTTGCGCTTAAGCTGGTATAATTAACAATTTACGCAATTTACTAATATAATAGTAAATGAAATCTGATGAAGATCACAAGCATTCAGTGTTAAGAAGTATTAATTGCAACTAAGATTGATTATAACCTATAAAAATTGTTTCAGGGTAGAAAATTGCCTATTTTAACAGCTGTTTGATTGAATTTCTACACAAAAATAGCAAATTTCAGCTCATTTCCGATTTAAAAAAGTTTAATAGATTTAGATTTCAAAGATTCCAAAAAAAATTCTTTCAAGGATTCGTATAGATATCCTTATGATAATTTCTAGGTTATGTTCCGGAGTGCATCGAAAAGAGCGATTTAAAATTGAATCACATCAAAATATCCACTGGTGACTTGAAATATTTGTAAATTACTGTTTCTTTGTAAGTTTTCAGGCTTATAAAAGTAAAAAATTGTGTCTTTTTAGGATAAAGACTCCTAAATTTGAGCTTATGTTGCTTTGAGCGGTTGAAAAAATGTATGAAGATCCGAAAAAGGTGAAGAAAATGAGGAAAACTCATGCTTTAAACACTGCCAAAGTTCTGAGAATGTGTTTTGC